CACAAAAGATAACTGGACATACTCATCTTTTCTGATACAAACTAATACAACCTGGGTTGTGTGCAGTGGCTGCTCATCTTACAGGAATCCACAGTGCTATCAAGATGATAAATAGCAGAATTAGAGTACTTCATCACTATCTTCTTGCTATGCAGAAAGGTACGCATATACTTTTAGTATAAGTACAAGTACTTGCTTTCGTGTTGGCGCTTTGTGTATACATAGTGCGGGGAGCCATGTTTTAGAAAGGTCCAGAACTGATAATAATTGCTTTTGTGTCTCTACTTGCAGGTGATATACCTTGTGAAAATTCACTGCTAAGACAAGTATCAAGTCTTTTGAGAAGGTTGCCTGCCATAGAATCAAGGAAATTTCAAGATGATTTCTTGATGGTGAGTGTTCCTCGTTTCAATTCCAAATTCACTAGCAGAGGTGATAAGAGCATATTTATGCGACTTAGTTAGCTTGTTGTTGTGCATTTACGTTGTTAGTTCTTAGTTATTTTAGTCTTTTAAGCCATTTTAGTGTGTTTTCAGATTCTAGGACAAAGTATGCAAAAAGGTGCAATTTGGAGCCTTTTGGAGCAGTTTTGAGCACAAAATGGATATCACATGCTTTGAGCCAAATGGATGGACGAAATTGAAGATCAAAGGAGGCAAGAAATGAAGAAATGAACATGAAGAACAAAGAGTTCGGAATTGGAAGCCAAAGTTTCTAAAGTTTGAGGTTTCCATTCTTGAAAGTTTCTATTCTTGGATTGGAAGTTTCCTAATCCTTCTTCACCTTGGTTCCAACCCTTACCGCACCTCTCAAGCCTTTTCCCTCTTGGATTCTAATTTGTTAGGCCCTTTTCCTTATGGGTTTGGGTTCTACAAAGCCTTTTCAGAAACTAAGTGGGCCAAAACCCTTTTCTTGGTTGATTGGAACACTTGTGCCGAACCCTTAGGCCCTAAGCCTTAAAATCCGCTAAGTTTAAACCTAATCTGATTTCCCTAGGGTTGTGCCGCACCTAATACTTCTAGAAGCCTAAAAATCTGCACAAACCCTAGTTCTTTTCTCCCTTGGATGGGCTAAGCCTTTTATCTCCAAAACCCTAACCTCTTCCCATCAGATTTGTGAAAACACTAGCTTTGTCGTGCCTATATATATGTGTTTTAAAGCCTAAATTCGTCACCACCTCCCTCCCATTCATAAATACATCCAGCCGCACCCTATACACCATTCTACATCCCTTTCCACCACCATACATCCTTGCCGCAACCCCCATTCAACCTAAACCTATTTCTAACCCTTTCATACGTCCATAACCATCCATAGACTCTTGTGCCGCAGCAAGGTGGGGAAGAAGAAGGCCCTTGGCGTTTCATGCTTGCAGATTTGAGCATTTTAGGTGTACTTCGTTCTTGTTTTCAATATTTATTTTGTTATTACTTCTGATTTTGCTGTAATCATGAGTGGCTAAACCCCTAATTAGTGGGGGAAGTTTGAAGCCATGAACATGCTTAAGATATGAATTGATTTCGTCCAATTGTGATTTGTTAAGTTGTGATTGCAGTTCAATTTTCTATCTTATTCATAACTGATTCTTGTATGTTTATTGAGGATGCATACTTAGTTTTCATGCATGAATTAGATGCTAGAATATAAATGAGTTTCACCTAATCGTTACAAGTTTATATTCATTAGTAGTGAAGGTTGCTTGTCACAATCGTGTTAATTGAATTCTTGGCAAACGTATCATGCATTCATAGTTACAATTGCCTCGTCAACACTTATGATTTTTATGAAACGTAATGATCTCTTATTGTATCTCTATTATGCATTCATGTAGGGGACTTTTAGAGAATGATTTGGGTTGTTGCATGCATTCATCCAATCCAATGAGTAAAGGAAAATCTGAGGGTTAATTTGTGCATCACGGTTAATCTGGAGTGTTGAGCATCATAATCTATTGAAAAAAAATTGGAAATCGATTCATGTTCAAGTGTGTCATATGTGGAGAATGGATCTCTAACTAATCCATCCATCATCTTATTCATCAAATTCGTTTTATAATCTGCCTAATTTTATAAATTGTTTGTTTGTTTCAAATTCGTCCAATTCGAAATCCCCCCTTTACTTTCTTGTTTCAAAGTGTTCAATTTATGTTTGTTTGTGTTTTTGAGTGTTTTGGTTCAAGCCAAAACACTAAATTCGTCCAAAATTGTATTAAGGTCAGAATCTGCCCAGATTGTGTTTTTAGGCAATTTTGAGTGCTTTTAAGTTGTTTTGAGTCTTTTGAACCTTTTTTGAGTTCCTTGAGTCTATTCAAATGTTTTTAACTTTGTTTTTATGTTTTTGAGTCAGTTTAGAGGTTTTAGCAAGCCCTCCTAATCCCCGGTTTAGAACGATCCCTACTTGCATTTATACTACGATTTGACAACAAGAGGGTTTAATTTAATTGCTTAACTTTTATCACATCAAGAGGCATTTGTTATGCACTTAATTGTACTATTAGAGAAATAATTAAAAATGGGAAGATGGCATAATAATTTTGGATGGTGCTGGGAAAACGGTAGAAGATTTGGTCCTTCCCTTCCCAGTTATATATGTGTTCATCAGAATAAACTTGTTACATTATTGGTAAGGGCTGTATTCGGTAGAGCTCATTACTTATGCTTCATGGTTCAGAAAAGCTCTTTAAGTTAAGCTTCATAGTTCCAATTATCAATTTTATCTTGTCGTTTATTTGGATTGGAAGATGTTGTGATCCATAAGTGTAATTAAGGCCTCTTTGTGGAGATTTTTTCCTCTCTTTTCACATAATGTATGATTGTGGATAGTGGCTGCTGATTAAGCTGACATCTTTATCCCGTGAATCACTCTTGTTGCTGACCTCATTTTTTATTTTTGGTAGGAATACAATGACACTTTGTTGATTACATATTTTGGCTGTGCTGACCAACTGCTCAAGGTATGAGATGTGGCATATCTTGCACTAATATGTTTTCCCTTTCATGTGATTCTTATGAACTACTGAATTAAACTTTTCGATGTCCATTGTTTTATTACAAAGGAAGCCCTGTAAAAAAGTTGTTGCAGCAAAAAGATAAACATTAGAATGTAAACATAAACTTTTCCACGTCAATGACTTTGATGTGAAGAACAAATGGGGGCTCGGTGGGTTTGATACCCATGTATTCTCCTGTTTGAAACCCGGGGCTACCTACCTAGAAACTACTAGTATTTCCTGCCCTGAACGATTGTAGGGTTCGGGGGTGGGCGTGGGGATTTTACAAACTTTGTCAGTTGATGTGTGGTGACGAATTTTGTTCCTACGCGTAAAATGAAGTTGTTTATAATACGTGCCTCTCTGTGATACTATTGCAATTACCAAGTTTGCGTAGCTCTGTACTCTTCGGTGGGCGTATATTTTTGTTGGGGTAAAACAGTAGAGTAGTTGAATGTGGCATTGTATCAAAATTTCAATGATACTAAAGCAGTACATAGCTGAATATGACAATTGTATTTTCATTTCCTTATCGTTTATTTCTTTTTTTCTCAGTACAACGAATGAGCTGGTCGACAAGTTCAACACCGCATATGATAGGCACAGTCGAAGAGGTGGACGGACTGCTTATTTCTGAAAGTTTCTTTGACAACTTTTTGGGTGCTGCTGGTTTCGTTTGAGACTGCATAGAGGCGTAGAAATTGAAATCTTAACGAGACCTAGACCATTCGGAATGAAATGTAAATTTCAGTCACCCCAACTGTCAATGCCCATTATTGTTTCGTTTAGGTTGTAATTTTTAATAGGTAATATATGAGCCGATTGATAATCATTTTGTTTTTGTTATTTATTATTATTTTCTGCTATAGATTGATGTAAGTGGAGAAAGATTGATGGAAGTGGTGGGAGAACGAGAGGGAAGTGAAGGAGAATGTACGAAATAAAAACTCGAAAGTAAAAGCCACTCTAATTGGACAGGGGGGCCTATTTTTTTGACATACATTCTGATACACTTTCTTAGAGCCTGCTTTATAATTTTTTTCTACGATCCAAATCATTTATATTTTCATCATTTATTGAAACACAAAAATTATTTTCCGCTCATTTTAACGGTCATTTTGATTGGCTGAAAAATTATTAAAAACAACCCTTCTTTTTTTTCAAAGTTCAAATATTATATCAAAGGAAAAAAATATTATATCGACGGAGACTTGTGGTCAGGGGAGTTCCGCAGATAAGTGAACACCGCAAGCAACAATTCAAAAAATGAGATCATTCTCCCACAATAATCCTTAATGTCATTTGTACTAAATCATTTACTAGAACTCACTAAAGGAGAGCTTGAACCTATGTATTTGTGTAAACCCTTCACAATTAATGAGAACTCCTCTACTCCATGGACGTAGCCAATCTGGGTGAATCATGTATATCTTGTGTTTGTTTTCCTGTCTCTATCCATTTACATATTTATCCGCATTAATGACCGGAGCAATCTAGCGAAGGTCACAAACTTGACACTTTCTGTCGTACCAAAGTCCTCACTAATTTTGTGCATCAACAACATGATTGCATAGTTATATTATCAGCTTGTACCATTTTCATGACCGTAGGACGTAGATTGCATGTGCATGAGTATTCTCAGGTTATCCACATTGTGGACATATTCTTCCAGCTTGTATACTTAAAGATTACTCAACAATGATATGATTATGTCTTCCGCTTCCACTAGCTACGGGGTGTGTCAATAACCACTTGAAGAAATTTCGGCTTTTAGAGTTAAGGCCTTGTATAATGGTTAGGTGACTTTGGTTCCTATACATAAGAATTATAAACACTTCTTATGGGCATGTGATTAATTAATTAGAAAAGATGAAAACTTGATCTCATTCCTTTCAAGTTAAATGAATAGTGCAATGAAAAATGAAGCCTAGACCACACAAGCAGCAGAATATAAAATACAACAAATCCAAATGCATTTGATGTTTTTACTAGGAAATTGATTTTTGCACACTTATTTTTTTTAATTTTGCACACCCTATTTATTTACCAGGGAAGTGCTTTCTGCACACATATTTTCTAATTTTGCACACCCCTGTTTATTTATTAAGCAAACAAACTTTTATGGGGATTCAAATAGATAATTGAGATGTGGAGACAAGGATGCCATCACCATCTGCATACAACCATTGTCCATCCTGAATCCAGATTCCTCCAATGTTGATAGGAACATGCTTTTGGCCACCACCACTTTTGATTGGTCTCACAGGACAAGTTGCTAAAGCTCTCACCCCAATCTCACATCGATTTATCTCATCAACATCTCTAATGCACCCATTTATCACAATCCCAGACCATCCCATAACTTCAGCACACTTAGCCAACATTCCTCCGGTAACGGCACGCCTCAAGCTTCCTTCACCATCAACAACCAAAACCCTTCCCTCGCCTTTCGTTCCGAGAAGCCCCACTATCAGAGTATTGTCTTCAAACGTCTTGACAGTCACAATGGGGCCTGAGAACGCTTCACGTTCTCCATATTTCTGGAATATCGGTGGCAAACGGCGCAACTCTCCACTGTCCAAAAGAGCAGCATTTGCATCACAAACATCAGTAGTGGCCAAACTAGCATCAGCCAATTTTCGCCGATACTCTGAAGACACACCTGGAACTCCAAATCTTTTCTCCAGGTTCAGCCAAAGATCACGTGACGAAGTTAATGCGACTGTCAGTGGTAGAACATCTTCAGACATAGTTGCTTTCATCAAGGCTATGATGCTCTGATCCTTCTCATGCCAAATGTCGAAGGCTGGATTCACTCCATCATTTCGTTTCTCGCCCACCAATAATGGTGAGGGACAAGGTTCACTTCCATCAACAATGCCGGTGACCTTGTTGCGCTTAAAGACCGTCTCAAACTGCAACTTCCAGAAGAGGTAATTCTCACGCTTCAGCTTTCTTGGTACTATACAGTCTATTTTCTGTATGGTGATAGAGCTATTAGATCCTTGGATTGCAGGAGTACTAGGATGTGGTGTGGTCATTGTAATTTCAATGTGTTTAAGTTGGGACTAGCTAGAAAACTGTGTTTTGTTTGGATAGAAAAAGGGAAAGAAAAACTCAATTTATATAGGCTAATTATATTAACACCCCACAAATTGTTGAATAAACCCCACATACTTAATACACCCCATATTTGCTTTTTCACTTAAAAATTATCTTAATACACCCCACATACTTTCCCATAATACCCCCACACCCCACATTCTCAATATACATCTTATAGTTTGTACATACACCCCACATTTTCTTTACACCCCACATTTCTCAAATCTTATAACACTCATTTTTAATTTTCAGGGATTGAATCTAACCATTTGAACGTTTAATTTGTCAAAATATTTCAAATCATCTGAACATTTAGTTTACCGAATGATTTCAAAATGATGATTTGAAATCATCTTAGTATAGTTTGAAATCATCTTATTCAACTTCTAAAAAGCCTTAAAAATGACCCGTGGTGCTGAGACGGAGTAAAAAAAAAAAAAAAAAAAAAAAAAAAAAGACTCTCTCGTTACTGCTAACAAATAATGCTTCTATATATATTTCACAAGTCTTTAGACTTAGTCTTGAACAAAATAAATAAAGACCATCTCTCTGCTAATGATCCAGGTGTAGAAGTTAATTAATAAATCAAAACTGAATTGGTCTCAGATTTCTTTAAATATAGGCCATGTCTCTCCTCATTTTCCACTGATCATCTCCCAATGACAAGAAAAGAAGAAGAAAAAAGAAAGAAAAACTCACAATGAGAAACGTACGTCAATCAAACGGCTAAAGATTGAGAGTACGAGTTCATGTGGAGAATGGCTATCCTCAATTTGTAAAAGTAGTATATGACTCTAGCACTAATACGACTCATGTTACTGGGTACGCAAGATTACTATGAACCCTAAAAGATGAATATGAATATAGAAGTTTAAATAATGCAGCAAACGCAAGATTAAATAATTATTGATGTCATCGAAATCACTAAAACAATGAAAAATGTGAAGTCTTATCTCATGTAAAGCTTCAGAAACATCGATTTTGTATTCCATTCGTCAAAAACAATTTTTCTCAATCAACATGTGTTGTAGTTTCATTGGTTAGAGATTTATTCAACAATGGAAGATGAGAGGGTTTTAATAGTTGAGAAAATAAATAATACGCTAAAAGTGATTTGGGGTGTATTTATATATTTTTTTTAAACCCTAATAAGGTCAAAATTGTCATTGCATAGTGGAGTAAATAAGTAATTTAATATTAAATTTTAATATGGGGTGCATTCAACATTTTGTGGGATGCTAATATAAAAAGCCTTTATATAAATTGATGGCTCTAACAACATGAGGTTTTAATCAAGAGTTGTGATGACATGTGTTTTGCTTTATTAATTAATTAAAAAAAGTGAACTTAAAATCTTTTAGCGTAATAAAAAAATATTGTTTATTAAAGTGTTAGAAGCATAAAACCGCCCCCTACAAAACTAACACAATCTTGAGATAATAATATGGGAAAATTAGAATGCCCCACTTTTTTTCTACATTTTTTTAATTAAACTTTTGCGTCTTTTAAAGATTTGATCAAAACGCTTGGATTAATGGCCACCTAAGTATTTTTAAATTTTTTATTTACATATCATTAGTTTATTTCTTTTAAATGAAAAATATTATATGTTGATTTCCCACTTTATCTTTTAGTCAATGGAGGTTTTTTTTACGTGTTAGAATTTATGCCCCCTTTTAAGGGATATATTAAATATTAAATGGATCATGGTAAGGATCCTTATATGTACAATGCTAAATTGAAACGTACCTAATACCATGTACCACTATAATCTATTTTCCAAATGTACCATGGTATGGATACTCAAATCAAGAGGTGCATAAAACGAAAATACAAAGGAAATGAATATAACTGACAAGGGAGAACAGAAGAGTGTCAATAGACCTTAGCAAAGAAATGGCACGAAAAGATTGTTGAATGGTCGTGGAAGAAAATGGCAAACGTATATATCACGTTAGAAGTAGAAATAGATCAAATTTGAATAGTTCTTAGATTTTTAAAACATATGTCTACTAGATTCTAGGAGATTTGTAATATTAATATAATACTTATTAATTAATTAGTACGTTATATATAATGGAAAACTGTGTAATTTTGAATTAATAAAATGCTACTTATAATACATGTGGCACCTAAATTGTAGGAAAATATTTAATAAAAAATCTAAAAGCTATGGATGTTTAATCTAACATATAGCATAATGAGGTATCTAATTCTAAATGCCCCTAGTTTTATATGTATCACATGCTATGCGATCAAGTTCCACAGAGGAGCGTGTTTTCATATTTTAAAATGCATGCCAACTGTAAGAATGATGAAATCAAGGATCATAGAATGCCACTTGTCAGAAGATCTTATCCTTTAAGATTAACTTACTGAGTACATTTCTTGTAGGGGTGTGATATCCACACATCCCATTTTACTTCTCACAGACCTTTTTAATTTTCGGTCGTCGGATCGGATGAATTGAAGAAGATCAACGGACATAAATTATCAAAGGGTGTGTGAGAAGTAAAATGAGATGTGTGGATAGCACACCCCTTCTTATATTGGAAGATATCGAAATCAATGAGAAAACAATCATCTTCTTGCAATTCTATAAACTCTTCTCTCTGTGCTTTCACTCTCTTTCTATAGTTCTTGAATTCTCACACCAACATCTTCTGTTCTTTCACACAATTCTGCACTGCAATATACTAATCAAAACTGTCTATTCTTTAGGTCATTCTTGAGGTTGAGGGAGGTTCATTCTTGTGAAAATTAATGGAACCCCAGTGAATTGATGAGATCATCAACATTGTGCTGACGACAAATATAGCCCGCCAAACAAAAAAAAAATCAAGTCAATTTTAAGTATCATTTTGGCTAAAATGCCTTTTATTAATAATTTTAGATTTTTTTTGGGAAAAATTAGGTTTACATCCTTCTTTTTGTTACTCCATTGATTAAAATCATATTCATTTTCAATTTTTGATCAAAGTCCTTGGGTATTAATAACATCATTAATTATTTGAATAATAAAATATTTTTATTTTTAAATATATTCATTTAGTGTTAAAAATGTTACAATTAGTATATTTATATTTATGACTAAATTTTTTATCATATATTTTTATTTTTAGTTTGTACCTATTTTTAATTGCAAATATTTTTTTAATTTGTACCCATATGTTAGTTTCTTTTTGTGCCCAATTTTTTAAAGTTTTATTTGTGTTTGTACCCATGTGTATACTGTCACGTGACATTGTATATTTAATCAATGATAGAAAAATTACATGTGGTATATTTATGTTTTATGCCTAAACTTTGTATCATATATTTATATTTTTAGTTTGTACCCACTTTTAATTTGCAACATTTTTTTAAAATTTGTAGTATTTCTTTTTAGTTTTATTTTGTATCCATGTATTAATTTCTTTTAGCACCTATATTTTTTTTAAATTCATTTGTACTCATAATTTTTTAATCTTTTATTAATTTATTTATAATGTACCCATTCTTCTTTATTAATGTACCTCTTTGTTATATGTGAAATGTACCTATTTTTTTTGTAAAATGTACCAGTTTTTTTAACACTATGGATACATTCTTTTGCCATTTATTATTTCTTATTTTTCCATAGTTTTTATCCATTTATTAAATCAAAATGTTTGAATTTTTTTATTGTAACCGTTTCTAATAGTATTATTGACACACCCCGTCCCGAAGGAGGGCATGCTGGCCGTCACGTGAGAGTGACGTAACCATTTGCACAGTACGGAAGCTTTAAGATACAATTTAAATTGATACACCCGAAGGTGAGTCCTAATTTTGTCCAATCTGTCAGAACACCGTCGAATTCCTCGTAGTCACCACACCTTTGTGATTCCTGAACCTGGAGGGGCGCAAAACCAAAATTGAGTGGGTCAGTAAAACAATTCTTTTCCAAATCCAAACATTTCTCAAAACGTTGTAACCCCTCTCCGTAAAACCTGTATACTTTCCCAGAAATGTAAAATATAAATATACATATATATTCTCAAACTTCATTTTTACTATCTCAACATTTTTCTTTATCAATCATGCCATGCCATGTCATCTCAACATTTCTCATATTAATTATGCCATGCCACATCATCTCAACAGTAATAAGGTATGAATGCATCAACATAATCATATCAGGTGCAAGAAAGTAATCAACCGTAGGCCCTCTAATAGCCCTATACGGTTGAACCTAGAGCTCAAAATCTATCATTATCACTCTACCGGAGTCACCTCTGTGACCCGTCCGGCCTTCTGCACACAAGTTACGCTCTAGTGCTTTCTCATAAATCATCTGTGCACATAATCTAAGGTCACCCACCAGTCGGAATCTCACTAACACTCTCGCGACTGGTCTGTCGTACCCACTCCGCGTGGACTGTACGACTAGCATCTACTTGGATCCAAGGCGAGCGTGCGATGCGGTGAATACTATAAGCACTAAACCATGGTGCAGGATTTGAGCTCAATATATATCATCATCATCATAACAGTAATTAAATACTCATCTGTGCGTCCACCGCACCATTTCATACATATGCATCATAAATCAATTCTTACCTGTGCGTCCACCGCACCAATTCATACATATGCATCATATATTAATTCATGCATGGCATTTCAACTCACATTTCTATATACTTTTCATATCAATTCTATGCATGGTATTTCACTTCCCGTTTTTCCACATAACTCATATGCATTTCATTTTAAAACATAATTTCATGCATTTTTCAATTTCTGGGAAAACGTTAAGTATATATATATATATACGGAAAACAAAACTGCCCACTCACCTGGAGTTCGTCCAACAACTCCCTAGCACCACACATCAAGGCGTCACGACGATCGCCGCCTAGAATAGTAATCAAATCCAACCTCAGAATTCATATCGATAGAATATATAACTTATATAAAAATACGTCACTACGTAGTTCGATCCGGAAGATCTGCCACTCAGATTTTAAATCCATAACTTCCAGAGGTCCACAATATAT